GCTCACAGCCAAGCCTTTTGTTCTTTCGCTTTATAAGTGCGACACCACCCGGATGGTTGGGCGGCTAGTTCAACAACAGCTCCTGCATATATAATCAAGTATTCTTCCTCAACCATACCCCTAAATATCCCCCTAATATCCCCTCACAGCCTGCATTCCATTAATCCCCTACATATACTTACACAGCTCACCTCTCATTAATCCCCCACGTATGCCTACACATCCTACATCTCATTAATCCCCTACATATACCTACACAGCCTACATCTCCTTAATCCCCCACATATACCTACGAAGCATACATCTCATTATTCCCCCACATGTACCTACACAGCATACAGCTCATTAATCCCCCTCATATACCTACACAGCATACAGCTCATTATTCCCCCACATGTACCTACACACCATACATCTCATTAATCCCCTACAGATATACCTACACAGCATACAGTTCATTAATCCCCTACACACCATACATCTCATTATAATCCCCTACATAAACCTACACACCATACATCTCATTAATCCCCTACATATACCTACACAGCATACAGCTCGTTAATTCCCCATGACGACGCTTTCAAGGTCGAGAAAGTAAAATTGGCGATACTTCTTTTTACGTGACGCGTGATCGGTGAAAAAAAATTCTTCGTGATGCGTGATTTAATACAAAAATTCAGCGTGGTGAGTGATTGGTACCCCACCTTTGCTACCCTCATAGAAGATAAATTCTTACCTCCTCCACAGGCTTTTTCTTATTTTTCTTTGCGAAAAGGGCGATTGAGAGACTGGGAGTTATCAATAGGGCGCGAGCGGGAGCTGGTAGCGAGTGAGGAGTGCGAGCGCAGGGAGCTCCTCATGATTCCCTGCGCCCCTCCTCACTAATTAAGATGATTTCCGTAGAACATTCGAGCAATACTGGCAAAAAATTAAGTTACCAAAAAAACCTCGTGGCATGGTAATATTTTGAATACAGTTAAAAAGAACTTATCGAGCCTTAAGCCCTCAAGCTGACCCCGTGAGTGAAAATTAGACTTGAAGTTATCGATGATTTCAATAAAACAGACGTTTCGCGTTTGTTAAAACACAATAACACACGCTTTAAGCATTCTTACAAGGTTTGATATTGACTTTATCGAGAATAATGCTTGAGAATTTTATCGCGGGGTCACCTAGGGCAATGAACAAAAGTAAGTTGTTTTAAATAGTATTCCCAAAGTTACCGTACTGTGGGTAGATTTTTAGTAAATAATTTTTGCACCCATTGCTCGAACTTTGAGCGGAATCCATCTTAATCATTATATTTTTTACTATCACGCGGGCGACTGGGGACGAGGCGGGATAACGAACTCTGTTGTAAGAACATCTACAGCAGTTTTCTGGTCACGTGAAGTACTGACCTCATTCCGAAACGCGCCTATCGCAATATTAGCCCGACTACTTTTGAAACGCGAGAATTCCTGCAGATATGAAGCCCCTGTGGAAATGGACCCAGCCGAAAATGAGCTCCACCGAAAAGAGCCTTTTGACAAGGAAAAACCTAGGGTAGATTATAATTATGGAAATTTAATGGTATGTATCAAAAATGTTTATGGTTAACTTTAGTGATACGTTTGCCTTAGGAGGCTAACTAACCATTGCTACGGGAAACGATTTTTCTTTCTTTATTTTTTTTTCCTTTTGCAGTGTTTGGCATGTTTATTTAAACGTCGTAAGAAAAGTCTTGAAACAACACCTTGGAGTAATGAGAAATCTATTGATAAATACCTACGGCTTAATCAACATTATGTTAGCCTGGCACATAGCAAATGAAAAGCTTCTTTCAAGAAACTTGAAAAAACATGCTGGACTACGAAGGAGCCTGGGAACAAATACATAATGATTTGACGTGAACTTTGCGTGCTTCAGATAAGGAATCGAAATTCCCTTAATCCCAATTTCTCTCTATAGGTACATTAAATTACACAAGCGTTTGTTAACTTGAGAATTTTTTTCCAAGGAAAGTCTTGAAACAGCGCGATAAACTAAGGAGGAGACCGATATACATGCTGAACACAAGATTTCACCTGAGCTTTGCGTGTTTAAGAAAAGGAATCGAAGACACAAATGTTTGTTAACTTCAAAAAAAGCGTCCTGATGTGCTTATATCACACGTCTTCCTGTGCTTGGTAAACTTCAATCTTCGCCTCATGTAGATCTGTTAACATGTTATGATCACTGTCACCCACATTTGTTGGTACAGGCACTTCATTTTTGCCTTGACTTTTCGCGGAAGCTTTCTTTGAATACAACCGACTAAACATGCTTACTTTCCTTTCTTGTTTCCTTCCTGTCGCTGTTCCAACCTTGTTCGCATTACTGGAAATGTTCAAGTCGTCCAATTCGCACTCCCCTTTCGCTTCACAATCAGTTTTTCTCTTTAAACTTTTTCGTTTGGCGCTAACTGTGAAGACCAGAATTCCAGACGAAACTTCACTGACGAGAAAGCAAGTTTGCACTGTCCACCAAGACCAGGCGTCGACAAATTTCGCGTCAGAATAAACTCCAAACACACTTACACTGGCGTAGATAAACATCGCACAGAGGACGAAATTGTTCAAGCCCGATGCGAAGATGAGACGGATGTAAAGGACTTCGTGTTTGCTTTTGATCTCCTTGTGACCAAAGAGTTTTTGATCAAGTTTGTACCCGAGAACAAAATACCCCACACCAAGAATTGCACCCCAAATTATAAAGAACCATTGGCAAAGCACTAGCATGGCCTTTGCTCTAACAAACTCCGACACGACAAAATCAGTCACCAGGACTAAAATAAAGTGCACGATTATAATAGTAAGGACGAAGCTAAGCTTTTGCATCTTGGGAGGAGCGAGAGATATTTTGGCAGTTTCGACTAGGGCGAGAATCACGAGACAGTCTGCCGACGTAAGACAGGGGCTCGCTAAGGACCATAGGACGCGCATAACTAATACGTTGTGTATGATGTCTCCTTGGTGATATGGATCTGTAAACAACACAAACGCCCGAGTGAAGCCCAGAATCAACATAACAACGTTCAGACAAAATCCCAGGTACTTTTGGTTCAGCCCTACATAGAGCTCATGTCCAATAAAGTAAGTGGCGTAAACAGCAAAACCCAAGAAAATCAGCGCGAATAAATAAACATGAAACTCCCAAGCTGCTCCCCATACCCCAAACGCCTTCGACCATTCTGGACCGGGCTCGGGCCATGCCTCTGCTGTAGCTTCCGGTTCGACTGCAGGATTTTCAGCCTTGTCCCCAGATAAAAGAAATGGTGATGGTGGGAAAGTAAGCCTTTCAAGAAGCCGGGCTGCCTTTCCTGAATCATTCAATTTTGCATGCTTGCCAGCGTCCTTGAACAAATGGTTTTCTTCTGTAGTAATGTTTTTCTTTCCTTGATCAGTTGCTGGGTTTATATTACCATTGCCTTCAGCGTCTCGTCTTCCAGAGAGTGTTTTGGAGACCTTTCCTTGACTGATAGCAACCAACAGCAAGAGAGCCTGAAATTCAAGTAATGATTTTTATCTTTAATATTCCTTACAGTATGCTAAGCCAGTGGCAAAGGGTCATGTTGCAGCTTTCGTAAGGTCTCACATAAATGGCTCTAAACCCTTCGAGAGGACAATAGAACAAACAACAGAAACAATGTCCCGTAGCCCCAAAACAATAACAGCTGTAGACTATGACGACAAATAGAATTACAAGCTTAAGAGAGCAGCTACACTACCGGCGACAAAACATGCAGTCAGCTCAATCCTATTCGTGTCCTTAGGCACATAAGGCCATGAACATGTAATATAGAGCTTTTCTCAATACGTGAAATTTTTACAAATATTTGAATAGGTGAGGGCAAGGTTTAAACGTGTTATTACATTAATTTTAGAAAACGGGCGGAAAAAGTATCATTTGCAAAAGCACAGATTTTTGCAGTTGAAAATTTAAACCATCCGGCAGCATTGTTAAAATTCATAAGGCAATGCCAAAAGTTTTTAATTATATTTTGCGTGAGCTTCTACTCTTACAATGAATAAAGTCTAAATCTTCTTATTTTGTTGGTTACTTTATTTAAACGCTCCATTAAATTAGCTTGAAGTTGGCACAGTAAACTACCAAGCATCTAGCCACTATTTACAATTATAAAATAATTGAGATACTACACGCGCTTTTATTGGTCGAAAGGTGTGTTTAGATGGGAGTATGTAAACACGGTTGTGACATTTTACATTTGCGCGTATTCTTGAGAAATATTTTGTAAAAGCAATAGAGCACTTTTTCCGTGTTTACATAGCCTCCTCTAAACACTTGGGGAGGTTGGGAGAATTCTCGAAGGTTATGCAAACCCTCAACTGCGCCTCGGGTTTGCATCCACATTTGGGTCTCGAATTCTTCGAATCCCCCTCGTGTTTAGATGAGGCTATGTAAACTCAGAAGAGCTCTATTGCTTAAATGTAAATCCTCTCTTAAAAAAAATGAATAATTCTCACCATCAAACCAACCCATTTTTGGCTTATTTTCATTCCTGATAATTCACGTCGTTGCTTGAACACACCAACACTTAAACATATTTGCATTCAACAGAAAGAAACCAGCAGTAAGAGATAACAACTAAAGCGAACAAATTTAGTTAACGTCAAGATTTTGACGTCATAAAAAGTAATTGAATTCTAATTTCGTTCGTTCAGGATCGTCGCATATCCCTTTTAAAAGATTTTAAAAAATCTTTTTCAAAACAATACAATACTTTGGCGAACGTTGTATATCCGCAAGTAAACTTTTCCTTTGCGAAGAAGCAGTCGAAACATTGTTGATATGATTTAATCAGAAAAATTTGCACGAGCTCACTCGATTACTGAAGATTCGCTGGGTATATTCCTTAGCAACTGCTGACGAAGATAATTGCGGACTCGGGTAAGATTCTCGGCAAATTTTGTCGCCCATTTCCCTGTCAAAAATGCCTGGAATGACCTTAATCGTCGTCCCGTACGTTACCACAAAATTAAAAATGGAATATTGTGACTTTTATAGGAATTAAAGTACAAATATACCCGACCGTGGGTAAGGTATAAAAGCTGCTTGAGTTCTATAGCCATTCTTTTAGCATCCTATCTTATTCGAATGTCTTTTGGTGATTAATTCGTACGGAAATTGTTAAAAAAGGTAAATACATCTATATTTACATCTACCATTTCATCACGTAGGATGCTAGTGCCAAACAACTGGAACCAATTGCTGGATTTTACTGCCGGATGTCAGCAAAATAAAAATCATAACCATTCAAACGCAATAAATAAAGACAAGAATCTGGGATAAGATAAATGATTGATATAAAAACAGTCTCTCCAAGATTTAAGTCTGTGCGGATTTTCATTCACACGTTGTTGGGAGAAGTGTTTCACCCAGATTTATAGCGCTTTGTATGGAGACGCCATGTTAATGTCCATCCAGATGGGCATCAACATGGCGGCCGTAAAGTAACAAAAACATCTGTCATTGAGTTTTGCTACTGAAACGAAAAGTTATTTATTACTCATTGAAATTTATACTTCTTCTAGGGTAAGAAATTTTCAGTTAGCAAAAACTTCTGCGACAACTCATCTTTTGACCTACTCGAGAGCCTTCTCGGGCCGCCATTTTAATGTCACACAACGCGCGCAAAAGCTTGGAAATTCAAACGTGCTCTATAACAAAACGAACGACCCTGTCGGTCGAGCTAAAACGTTGTAAAACGTCAAGTTCTTTCGGGGTCTTATGGAACTAAAACCTGAGAAGGATAGGTAATTTTTGATTTTGAAAAACGACTACGTCACATGAACAAATCCAGCAACGGTTTGTGCACATCCTCGGCTTAGTTTCCTCTCAGTGATGCTAACAAGAAGGAAGCCAGCAATAAATGATCATGACTATCTTACAAATGACAATAACTGTGCTACAGTAAATCTTTTACAAAAAGGTAAACCAACTTTATTTATACACTGTTTGGCTAAAGGCTTTGGGGCCGTGCATATAGAATACAAAAAATAACCAAAAAATAATAGTATATTTAAGAATATCGACCCAGTGGCAAGAGGCAGTGAGTGACCGGTTAGCTATTTACAATGCAAAGAGTGGAGTAGTTGAAATCGAGAGCACCGAACACACAACCTCTTAATGCCAGGAGGGTAATGGCCAAATCCCTCCTTGAGGTGCGCCTTGTATTCGTTCTCTTGGACTGGGCCGGGTTGTTTGAGAGCCGGTTAACGCTGCCCCAGCATTAAAACGTTAACCGAAGTATTTATTTTTCTTATATAATAATGTTTTTCACTGCTTATTTTTTGTTTACACTTTAAGATTATTTAAGTTCAAAACTGAAGAACGAGCAGTATAAACAAAAAACCTCGCCGCAAAGTTACAAAACTCAAATCAAACTAATTCTCGCTAATCCTGAGCTAGCTTAATCGGGCTTTCAACAACCCTGCCCTGTATTTTACATTGATGAAGACAACTACTATGATTCCCTGCAGGCGCGTCTCGAAGAGGGAATTGGCAATTTTCGACAATTTGAACCCACACTACTTCTGATAACATCTTAAAAGTCCAGGACCCTAACCTCTAGACTATGCCGTCTTGTGCCTTGACAAGATGCGAAGAAAAGCGAAACAAGTGATCAGAGTCCCTGAATGAATATCTGTAAAAGCTATTCGCATTTTCTTTGTTTTTGTCTTACTAAAATACGCGATTGGCTAGAAAAAATCGCCCCACTTTGTCATCCAATCAGAAGTAAAACCAAAACCAATTGTGACTCACTCGCACACGTTTTCCCGCGCTCTGTGTTGGCCACATGTGTTATAATTGGCTCATTAAATAACAATTGCCTGCCTACGTCCTTTTTGATTGGCTAGAGTGATTACTTTGGCTTTGGGCCTACGACACCGGCTCAGTGCGTCGACTGTTATTCGTATTCACATCACTTAAAATGGAAAACCACGTTCTATTCTTTAGCGTGTCTATAAAATCTGCGCCATTTTGATTAAACTATACTTAATACAGGGAGATGGTCAAGAAACCTGGCAAAGTTCTCTGTTGTATGTTTTTGTTGGCTATTTTCGGGTTTGACACTGCACAAAACCTGGCAAAATATAAAAGGTAGTTATGTACGCTCATACAACTAGCCAATAGAAGCATTGCAATTACGCAATTCATACATAGTCAATGACCACGAAACAAAAGATGTGCAGGCTCAGGGACCTTCCAACGTAAATCTTAGGACTGTTTGCTTCTTTGATTTTCATCGGGCCATTCCCTCTATTAACTATGATCAAACATATAAAGAAGTCAAATGCAGCCATACTGTACTGTTGCTGGCGCTGTGGTCATTTTAAAACATGAGAGAGAGAAGTTACACATTCCTTTAAGGGAGTTTCGTCAGGGACAGCTCATTTTGAAAACTTGCTCAACACCGAAAACCCGTTGATTCTCCGCTAAATTATGTCAAAGTCTGTTTCATTGGGTAGCGTATTTGTGGACCATTTGCCCAAATTCTTGTCAGAGTTCTGGCTTTTCATCTCTGGTTCTTCTTCAAATTTACCAGCATTGAACTCTGAACTTTTCCCTCCGGGAGAAAACTCTATTTTTGTTTTCTTGGCCTCGTGAAGGGCTGTAAACATGCTTGATCTTCTAGATGTATGTTTCAGTCTTCTAAATTCAAGCTCTACGTATTCGCTTTGTTCTGCGTCTTCGCTATCAAGTGAATCGTCTAATTCGTTGCCATGGCAATGTAGCTCTGTCGCTCCCGGCAGATGTATAATGGAGCACATTGTCTTGGTCTCTACCCAGCATTCCCCATTGGAAGTTATCCGGGGAACTGGGTTCGTTCCATGCAAATCTCCTCCAGTGGCTTGCACTAAAGCCATTTCACGGAGGGCAGTGAACAAGCTTATCACACTGCCGTTCTCATCTCTGGAGACTCTCTTTCTACGCTTGAAGCACTTGGCAAGTCTTCCCGTCGCGAATTTGGACGAACTGTTTTCCTCTGTGGAAATTGACTCCAAACATTTCTCCCCCGTCACCTGGGCAACGGCGTTCTTAACCCGGGTTCGTTTGGCACTTACTGTGAATATTAAAACGCATGCTAAGATCTCACTGAAACGTGATAGAGTCTGTAAGGCCCACCACGACCAGGCATCAACGTATTGCACGTCTGAATAAACACCAAACACGCCAAACGCCGAGTAAACAATAATTCCACACAGGAAGTAGTTTGCCACGCCCGAAGCGTAAATGAGATAGATGTAAATTTTGTCTGCTTTCTCTTTCGGCTTTTTATGGCTGAAAAGCTGTTTATCCAATTTGTACCCCAGAATGAAGTTTAAAGTTCCAAGAACAGTACCCCACGTGGCAAAGAACACCTGACAGAATAGCAACATCGCTTTGGCTTCAACGTACTCAGAGACGACGCAATCCGTAGTTATAACAAGCGTGAAATGCAAGCATATAACGATTAAATTAACGCTTAATTTCTGGAGCTTAGGTGGCGCAATGGAGATTTTCGCGGTTTCAATCAGAGCTAATATCATCAAGCAGTCAGATGCTGTCAAGCATGGACCAGCAAGGGACCAAATGACGCGCATCGCGGCAGTATTGTGAATTATGCCCCCTTGGTGGTATGGGTCCAGGTACAAGACAAAGGCCCTTGTGAATCCGAAAAGGGCCACTAAGATATTTAGGTTTACACTCAAGTACTTTCCTTTTAGCCCGTCATAAATGTTGGCAATGACGAAATACCCAGCGTAGAAGCCTATGCAGAGACAAACGGAGGCAAAAAGATACACGTGTAGTTCCCAGGCCCATTTCCAAATGCCATATGCCTCTTCCCAACGAGGTCCAGGCTCGGGCCAGTTTTCAGGGGTGGGCTCGGTTTCTCGTATGCCGTTCCATTTGTGCTCGGGTACTGAGTAGGGTTCTGTGGCGGGGTAATGTGTACTCTTTGGTTCTCCCTCGGCTTTCGATTCACTTTCATGTTCCGATTCAGGTTCGGCCCTCGGCTTCCTCTGAGTTCGCTCTCTCAAGGAATGGGTATCTGGAAAAGAAATGAAAGTCTATTTCTCATCACAATTTGTTGTTGTGACGCGAAGCTGAACTGTTATGTCCCACGAGCGCGTCAGGTGTAATCTTACGCAATCTTCACAAGCTTTTTTCGTTGTTTTTTTTTTTTTAGGGTGAACGCGTATTTAAATATATAACTGTATGTATAGCATAAATTACAAAGCCGTTACAGAACATAAGCCTGCATATAAAGAATGTTAGGCAAATTAGCATATTATAGCCTCAAATTGAGGTATGTCCGCCATTTTGAATAATCAAATCCCGCCGGTGTCAGAAACTCGTTTGTCCAGTTTGGCTATGACTTCAGTGCTTTCTCATTGGCTCACAGCCAAGCCTTTTGTTCTTTTGCTTTATAAGTGCGACTCCACCCGGATGGTTGGGCGGCTAGTTCAACAACAGCTCCTGCATATATAATCGAGTATTCTTCCTCAACCATACCCCTAAATATCCCCCCAATATCCCCTCACAGCCTGCAATCCATTAATCCCCTGCATATACTTGCACAGTTCACCTCTCATTAATCCCCCACGTATGCCTACACATCCTGCATCTCATTAATCCCCTACATATACCTACACAGCCTACATCTCCTTAATCCCCCACATATACCTACAAAACATACATCTCAGTATTCCCCCACATGTACCTACACAGCATACAGCTCATTAATCCCCCACATATACCTACACATCTTACATCTCATTAATCCCCTACATATACCTACACAGCATACAGCTCATTAATTCCCCATGACGACGCTTTTAAAGTCGAGAAAGTAAAATTGGCGATACTTCTTTTTACGTGACGCGTGATCGGTGAAAAAAATTCTTCGTGATGCGTGATTTAATACAAAAATTCAGCGCGATGAGTGATTGGTACCCCACCTTTGCTACCATCATAGAAGATAAATTCTTACCTCCTCCACAGGCTTTTTCTTCTTTTTCTTTGCGAAAAGGGCGGTTGAGAGACTGGGAGTTAGCAATAGGGCGCGAGCGGGAGCTGGTAGCGAGTGAGGAGGCGAGCGCAGGGAGCTCCTCCCCATGATTCCCTGCGCCCCTCCTCACTAGTTAAGATGATTTCCGTAGAACATTCGAGCAATAATGGCAAAAAATTAAGTTACCAAAAAAACCTCATGGCATGGTAATATTTTGAATACAGTTAAAAAGAACTTATCGAGCCTTAAGCCCTCAAGCTGACCCCGTGAGTGAAAATTAGACTTGAAGTTATCGATGATTTCAATAAAACAGACGTTTCGCGTTTGTTAAAACACAATAACACACGCTTTAAGCATTCTTACAAGGTTTGATATTGACTTTATCGAGAATAATGCTTGAGAATTTTATCGCGGGGTCACCTAGGGCAATGAACAAAAGTAAGTTGTTTTAAATAGTATTCCCAAAGTTACCGTACTGTGGGTAGATTTTTAGTAAATAATTTTTGCACCCATTGCTCGAACTTTGAGCGGAATCCATCTTAATCATTATATTTTTTACTATCACGCGGGCGACTGGGGACGAGGCGGGATAACGAACTCTGTTGTAAGAACATCTACAGCAGTTTTCTGGTCACGTGAAGTACTGACCTCATTCCGAAACGCGCCTATCGCAATATTAGCCCGACTACTTTTGAAACGCGAGAATTCCTGCAGATATGAAGCCCCTGTGGAAATGGACCCAGCCGAAAATGAGCTCCACCGAAAAGAGCCTTTTGACAAGGAAAAACCTAGGGTAGATTATAATTATGGAAATTTAATGGTATGTATCAAAAATGTTTATGGTTAACTTTAGTGATACGTTTGCCTTAGGAGGCTAACTAACCATTGCTACGGGAAACGATTTTTCTTTCTTTATTTTTTTTTCCTTTTGCAGTGTTTGGCATGTTTATTTAAACGTCGTAAGAAAAGTCTTGAAACAACACCTTGGAGTAATGAGAAATCTATTGATAAATACCTACGGCTTAATCAACATTATGTTAGCCTGGCACATAGCAAATGAAAAGCTTCTTTCAAGAAACTTGAAAAAACATGCTGGACTACGAAGGAGCCTGGGAACAAATACATAATGATTTGACGTGAACTTTGCGTGCTTCAGATAAGGAATCGAAATTCCCTTAATCCCAATTTCTCTCTATAGGTACATTAAATTACACAAGCGTTTGTTAACTTGAGAATTTTTTTCCAAGGAAAGTCTTGAAACAGCGCGATAAACTAAGGAGGAGACCGATATACATGCTGAACACAAGATTTCACCTGAGCTTTGCGTGTTTAAGAAAAGGAATCGAAGACACAAATGTTTGTTAACTTCAAAAAAAGCGTCCTGATGTGCTTATATCACACGTCTTCCTGTGCTTGGTAAACTTCAATCTTCGCCTCATGTAGATCTGTTAACATGTTATGATCACTGTCACCCACATTTGTTGGTACAGGCACTTCATTTTTGCCTTGACTTTTCGCGGAAGCTTTCTTTGAATACAACCGACTAAACATGCTTACTTTCCTTTCTTGTTTCCTTCCTGTCGCTGTTCCAACCTTGTTCGCATTACTGGAAATGTTCAAGTCGTCCAATTCGCACTCCCCTTTCGCTTCACAATCAGTTTTTCTCTTTAAACTTTTTCGTTTGGCGCTAACTGTGAAGACCAGAATTCCAGACGAAACTTCACTGACGAGAAAGCAAGTTTGCACTGTCCACCAAGACCAGGCGTCGACAAATTTCGCGTCAGAATAAACTCCAAACACACTTACACTGGCGTAGATAAACATCGCACAGAGGACGAAATTGTTCAAGCCCGATGCGAAGATGAGACGGATGTAAAGGACTTCGTGTTTGCTTTTGATCTCCTTGTGACCAAAGAGTTTTTGATCAAGTTTGTACCCGAGAACAAAATACCCCACACCAAGAATTGCACCCCAAATTATAAAGAACCATTGGCAAAGCACTAGCATGGCCTTTGCTCTAACAAACTCCGACACGACAAAATCAGTCACCAGGACTAAAATAAAGTGCACGATTATAATAGTAAGGACGAAGCTAAGCTTTTGCATCTTGGGAGGAGCGAGAGATATTTTGGCAGTTTCGACTAGGGCGAGAATCACGAGACAGTCTGCCGACGTAAGACAGGGGCTCGCTAAGGACCATAGGACGCGCATAACTAATACGTTGTGTATGATGTCTCCTTGGTGATATGGATCTGTAAACAACACAAACGCCCGAGTGAAGCCCAGAATCAACATAACAACGTTCAGACAAAATCCCAGGTACTTTTGGTTCAGCCCTACATAGAGCTCATGTCCAATAAAGTAAGTGGCGTAAACAGCAAAACCCAAGAAAATCAGCGCGAATAAATAAACATGAAACTCCCAAGCTGCTCCCCATACCCCAAACGCCTTCGACCATTCTGGACCGGGCTCGGGCCATGCCTCTGCTGTAGCTTCCGGTTCGACTGCAGGATTTTCAGCCTTGTCCCCAGATAAAAGAAATGGTGATGGTGGGAAAGTAAGCCTTTCAAGAAGCCGGGCTGCCTTTCCTGAATCATTCAATTTTGCATGCTTGCCAGCGTCCTTGAACAAATGGTTTTCTTCTGTAGTAATGTTTTTCTTTCCTTGATCAGTTGCTGGGTTTATATTACCATTGCCTTCAGCGTCTCGTCTTCCAGAGAGTGTTTTGGAGACCTTTCCTTGACTGATAGCAACCAACAGCAAGAGAGCCTGAAATTCAAGTAATGATTTTTATCTTTAATATTCCTTACAGTATGCTAAGCCAGTGGCAAAGGGTCATGTTGCAGCTTTCGTAAGGTCTCACATAAATGGCTCTAAACCCTTCGAGAGGACAATAGAACAAACAACAGAAACAATGTCCCGTAGCCCCAAAACAATAACAGCTGTAGACTATGACGACAAATAGAATTACAAGCTTAAGAGAGCAGCTACACTACCGGCGACAAAACATGCAGTCAGCTCAATCCTATTCGTGTCCTTAGGCACATAAGGCCATGAACATGTAATATAGAGCTTTTCTCAATACGTGAAATTTTTACAAATATTTGAATAGGTGAGGGCAAGGTTTAAACGTGTTATTACATTAATTTTAGAAAACGGGCGGAAAAAGTATCATTTGCAAAAGCACAGATTTTTGCAGTTGAAAATTTAAACCATCCGGCAGCATTGTTAAAATTCATAAGGCAATGCCAAAAGTTTTTAATTATATTTTGCGTGAGCTTCTACTCTTACAATGAATAAAGTCTAAATCTTCTTATTTTGTTGGTTACTTTATTTAAACGCTCCATTAAATTAGCTTGAAGTTGGCACAGTAAACTACCAAGCATCTAGCCACTATTTACAATTATAAAATAATTGAGATACTACACGCGCTTTTATTGGTCGAAAGGTGTGTTTAGATGGGAGTATGTAAACACGGTTGTGACATTTTACATTTGCGCGTATTCTTGAGAAATATTTTGTAAAAGCAATAGAGCACTTTTTCCGTGTTTACATAGCCTCCTCTAAACACTTGGGGAGGTTGGGAGAATTCTCGAAGGTTATGCAAACCCTCAACTGCGCCTCGGGTTTGCATCCACATTTGGGTCTCGAATTCTTCGAATCCCCCTCGTGTTTAGATGAGGCTATGTAAACTCAGAAGAGCTCTATTGCTTAAATGTAAATCCTCTCTTAAAAAAAATGAATAATTCTCACCATCAAACCAACCCATTTTTGGCTTATTTTCATTCCTGATAATTCACGTCGTTGCTTGAACACACCAACACTTAAACATATTTGCATTCAACAGAAAGAAACCAGCAGTAAGAGATAACAACTAAAGCGAACAAATTTAGTTAACGTCAAGATTTTGACGTCATAAAAAGTAATTGAATTCTAATTTCGTTCGTTCAGGATCGTCGCATATCCCTTTTAAAAGATTTTAAAAAATCTTTTTCAAAACAATACAATACTTTGGCGAACGTTGTATATCCGCAAGTAAACTTTTCCTTTGCGAAGAAGCAGTCGAAACATTGTTGATATGATTTAATCAGAAAAATTTGCACGAGCTCACTCGATTACTGAAGATTCGCTGGGTATATTCCTTAGCAACTGCTGACGAAGATAATTGCGGACTCGGGTAAGATTCTCGGCAAATTTTGTCGCCCATTTCCCTGTCAAAAATGCCTGGAATGACCTTAATCGTCGTCCCGTACGTTACCACAAAATTAAAAATGGAATATTGTGACTTTTATAGGAATTAAAGTACAAATATACCCGACCGTGGGTAAGGTATAAAAGCTGCTTGAGTTCTATAGCCATTCTTTTAGCATCCTATCTTATTCGAATGTCTTTTGGTGATTAATTCGTACGGAAATTGTTAAAAAAGGTAAATACATCTATATTTACATCTACCATTTCATCACGTAGGATGCTAGTGCCAAACAACTGGAACCAATTGCTGGATTTTACTGCCGGATGTCAGCAAAATAAAAATCATAACCATTCAAACGCAATAAATAAAGACAAGAATCTGGGATAAGATAAATGATTGATATAAAAACAGTCTCTCCAAGATTTAAGTCTGTGCGGATTTTCATTCACACGTTGTTGGGAGAAGTGTTTCACCCAGATTTATAGCGCTTTGTATGGAGACGCCATGTTAATGTCCATCCAGATGGGCATCAACATGGCGGCCGTAAAGTAACAAAAACATCTGTCATTGAGTTTTGCTACTGAAACGAAAAGTTATTTATTACTCATTGAAATTTATACTTCTTCTAGGGTAAGAAATTTTCAGTTAGCAAAAACTTCTGCGACAACTCATCTTTTGACCTACTCGAGAGCCTTCTCGGGCCGCCATTTTAATGTCACACAACGCGCGCAAAAGCTTGGAAATTCAAACGTGCTCTATAACAAAACGAACGACCCTGTCGGTCGAGCTAAAACGTTGTAAAACGTCAAGTTCTTTCGGGGTCTTATGGAACTAAAACCTGAGAAGGATAGGTAATTTTTGATTTTGAAAAACGACTACGTCACATGAACAAATCCAGCAACGGTTTGTGCACATCCTCGGCTTAGTTTCCTCTCAGTGATGCTAACAAGAAGGAAGCCAGCAATAAATGATCATGACTATCTTACAAATGACAATAACTGTGCTACAGTAAATCTTTTACAAAAAGGTAAACCAACTTTATTTATACACTGTTTGGCTAAAGGCTTTGGGGCCGTGCATATAGAATACAAAAAATAACCAAAAAATAATAGTATATTTAAGAATATCGACCCAGTGGCAAGAGGCAGTGAGTGACCGGTTAGCTATTTACAATGCAAAGAGTGGAGTAGTTGAAATCGAGAGCACCGAACACACAACCTCTTAATGCCAGGAGGGTAATGGCCAAATCCCTCCTTGAGGTGCGCCTTGTATTCGTTCTCTTGGACTGGGCCGGGTTGTTTGAGAGCCGGTTAACGCTGCCCCAGCATTAAAACGTTAACCGAAGTATTTATTTTTCTTATATAATAATGTTTTTCACTGCTTATTTTTTGTTTACACTTTAAGATTATTTAAGTTCAAAACTGAAGAACGAGCAGTATAAACAAAAAACCTCGCCGCAAAGTTACAAAACTCAAATCAAACTAATTCTCGCTAATCCTGAGCTAGCTTAATCGGGCTTTCAACAACCCTGCCCTGTATTTTACATTGATGAAGACAACTACTATGATTCCCTGCAGGCGCGTCTCGAAGAGGGAATTGGCAATTTTCGACAATTTGAACCCACACTACTTCTGATAACATCTTAAAAGTCCAGGACCCTAACCTCTAGACTATGCCGTCTTGTGCCTTGACAAGATGCGAAGAAAAGCGAAACAAGTGATCAGAGTCCCTGAATGAATATCTGTAAAAGCTATTCGCATTTTCTTTGTTTTTGTCTTACTAAAATACGCGATTGGCTAGAAAAAATCGCCCCACTTTGTCATCCAATCAGAAGTAAAACCAAAACCAATTGTGACTCACTCGCACACGTTTTCCCGCGCTCTGTGTTGGCCACATGTGTTATAATTGGCTCATTAAATAACAATTGCCTGCCTACGTCCTTTTTGATTGGCTAGAGTGATTACTTTGGCTTTGGGCCTACGACACCGGCTCAGTGCGTCGACTGTTATTCGTATTCACATCACTTAAAATGGAAAACCACGTTCTATTCTTTAGCGTGTCTATAAAATCTGCGCCATTTTGATTAAACTATACTTAATACAGGGAGATGGTCAAGAAACCTGGCAAAGTTCTCTGTTGTATGTTTTTGTTGGCTATTTTCGGGTTTGACACTGCACAAAACCTGGCAAAATATAAAAGGTAGTTATGTACGCTCATACAACTAGCCAATAGAAGCATTGCAATTACGCAATTCATACATAGTCAATGACCACGAAACAAAAGATGTGCAGGCTCAGGGACCTTCCAACGTAAATCTTAGGACTGTTTGCTTCTTTGATTTTCATCGGGCCATTCCCTCTATTAACTATGATCAAACATATAAAGAAGTCAAATGCAGCCATACTGTACTGTTGCTGGCGCTGTGGTCATTTTAAAACATGAGAGAGAGAAGTTACACATTCCTTTAAGGGAGTTTCGTCAGGGACAGCTCATTTTGAAAACTTGCTCAACACCGAAAACCCGTTGATTCTCCGCTAAATTATGTCAAAGTCTGTTTCATTGGGTAGCGTATTTGTGGACCATTTGCCCAAATTCTTGTCAGAGTTCTGGCTTTTCATCTCTGGTTCTTCTTCAAATTTACCAGCATTGAACTCTGAACTTTTCCCTCCGGGAGAAAACTCTATTTTTGTTTTCTTGGCCTCGTGAAGGGCTGTAAACATGCTTGATCTTCTAGATGTATGTTTCAGTCTTCTAAATTCAAGCTCTACGTATTCGCTTTGTTCTGCGTCTTCGCTATCAAGTGAATCGTCTAATTCGTTGCCATGGCAATGTAGCTCTGTCGCTCCCGGCAGATGTATAATGGAGCACATTGTCTTGGTCTCTACCCAGCATTCCCCATTGGAAGTTATCCGGGGAACTGGGTTCGTTCCATGCAAATCTCCTCCAGTGGCTTGCACTAAAGCCATTTCACGGAGGGCAGTGAACAAGCTTATCACACTGCCGTTCTCATCTCTGGAGACTCTCTTTCTACGCTTGAAGCACTTGGCAAGTCTTCCCGTCGCGAATTTGGACGAACTGTTTTCCTCTGTGGAAATTGACTCCAAACATTTCTCCCCCGTCACCTGGGCAACGGCGTTCTTAACCCGGGTTCGTTTGGCACTTACTGTGAATATTAAAACGCATGCTAAGATCTCACTGAAACGTGATAGAGTCTGTAAGGCCCACCACGACCAGGCATCAACGTATTGCACGTCTGAATAAACACCAAACACGCCAAACGCCGAGTAAACAATAATTCCACACAGGAAGTAGTTTGCCACGCCCGAAGCGTAAATGAGATAGATGTAAATTTTGTCTGCTTTCTCTTTCGGCTTTTTATGGCTGAAAAGCTGTTTATCCAATTTGTACCCCAGAATGAAGTTTAAAGTTCCAAGAACAGTACCCCACGTGGCAAAGAACACCTGACAGAATAGCAACATCGCTTTGGCTTCAACGTACTCAGAGACGACGCAATCCGTAGTTATAACAAGCGTGAAATGCAAGCATATAACGATTAAATTAACGCTTAATTTCTGGAGCTTAGGTGGCGCAATGGAGATTTTCGCGGTTTCAATCAGAGCTAATATCATCAAGCAGTCAGATGCTGTCAAGCATGGACCAGCAAGGGACCAAATGACGCGCATCGCGGCAGTATTGTGAATTATGCCCCCTTGGTGGTATGGGTCCAGGTACAAGACAAAGGCCCTTGTGAATCCGAAAAGGGCCACTAAGATATTTAGGTTTACACTCAAGTACTTTCCTTTTAGCCCGTCATAAATGTTGGCAATGACGAAATACCCAGCGTAGAAGCCTATGCAGAGACAAACGGAGGCAAAAAGATACACGTGTAGTTCCCAGGCCCATTTCCAAATGCCATATGCCTCTTCCCAACGAGGTCCAGGCTCGGGCCAGTTTTCAGGGGTGGGCTCGGTTTCTCGTATGCCGTTCCATTTGTGCTCGGGTACTGAGTAGGGTTCTGTGGCGGGGTAATGTGTACTCTTTGGTTCTCCCTCGGCTTTCGATTCACTTTCATGTTCCGATTCAGGTTCGGCCCTCGGCTTCCTCTGAGTTCGCTCTCTCAAGGAATGGGTATCTGGAAAAGAAATGAAAGTCTATTTCTCATCACAATTTGTTGTTGTGACGCGAAGCTGAACTGTTATGTCCCACGAGCGCGTCAGGTGTAATCTTACGCAATCTTCACAAGCTTTTTTCGTTGTTTTTTTTTTTTTATGGCATGGTAATATTTTGAATACAGTTAAAAAGAACTTATCGAGCCTTAAGCCCTCAAGCTGACCCCGTGAGTGAAAATTAGACTTGAAGTTATCGATGATTTCAATAAAACAGACGTTTCGCGTTTGTTAAAACACAATAACACACGCTTTAAGCATTCTTACAAGGTTTGATATTGACTTTATCGAGAATAATGCTTGAGAATTTTATCGCGGGGTCACCTAGGGCAATGAACAAAAGTAAGTTGTTTTAAATAGTATTCCCAAAGTTACCGTACTGTGGGTAGATTTTTAGTAAATAATTTTTGCACCCATTGCTCGAACTTTGAGCGGAATCCATCTTAATCATTATATTTTTTACTATCACGCGGGCGACTGGGGACGAGGCGGGATAACGAACTCTGTTGTAAGAACATCTACAGCAGTTTTCTGGTCACGTGAAGTACTGACCTCATTCCGAAACGCGCCTATCGCAATATTAGCCCGACTACTTTTGAAACGCGAGAATTCCTGCAGATATGAAGCCCCTGTGGAAATGGACCCAGCCGAAAATGAGCTCCACCGAAAAGAGCCTTTTGACAAGGAAAAACCTAGGGTAGATTATAATTATGGAAATTTAATGGTATGTATCAAAAATGTTTATGGTTAACTTTAGTGATACGTTTGCCTTAGGAGGCTAACTAACCATTGCTACGGGAAACGATTTTTCTTTCTTTATTTTTTTTTCCTTTTGCAGTGTTTGGCATG